GGTCAGACATGATTTTGACCACCAATTAAGTTTTGTTTTGTAGAAAGCTTGTAAATTTCGTTTCGGATAAATTCTATCTTCATTGTAATAAATGTTTCATCAACAAATTGACTGGATTAACACATTAGAAGTAAATATCGGACAATATAATCAGGACACAGAGGCGCAATATGAACTAGAAAGCTTTAAATGTCTACTTTTAAACAAAACATTTAAAAACGAAAATAAATTGGCAACTCTCTGCGTAAGTAGGCTAATTCGAATGCGTTTAGGCCTATGCGCGTTCACTGTGAAGGCGAGTCAGCATCATCAACTTTATCTTTGCTGCTGACAGACAGATAACACTAGTTTAGTTTAGAGCAGCATGTTTGCAACAATAACACAATCAAACAGAATGTAAGCCCTGTGTGTGTGCATGTGCAGTTGTGTGTGTGCGTCACACGTTAAATGTTTTAGAATGTAACACAACATTCAAATGCAAATATGCGCCCTCCCCCACTTGAAAGCCCGTGTGTCCACCAAAGTGTTTTTCCACACGCCTGGCGTGTTTTCAATTGTTTTCAATGGGAGCGCCGCGTTTTTTTAAACGCCATGAGCGTAATCAAAGCAGCTCCTGAGATTAAGCTGGCGTTTTTAGTATGTCCTTTTTTTCTTCGAACAATTCAAGAACAATATAGGCTACAAATTGAACATGGTTTATTTTTTGTAAAACTTTAAAACTGGCCTTTACTTTTCTTGACGATTCCTCGGTAGCTTTTGTTTGAAGGCATTCAGTTGCTCCAAAAACACTAACGTTAGAAACATAACTGCACTTTATCACAACGGATTAATAAACCGTACCCACGAGTTCCTAATCCGTGCTCTCAGATTTGTAAACCGTGCCCTCAGTTTTTGCAATCTGTACCCACAAATTCATAAACCGTGCCCACGCTTTCGCAATCCGTATGGGTTTGTAATCCGGACTCACGGGTTTGTGGCTCGTCCCCCAGAGTGTGCCGCATGATTCAACTAGGCCTCCTGTTTAGATGCGGGATGCATTGCATTGTTTTTAAAATCCTTTTTTAAAATGGATAATTTCTTGCATTTAAAAAAATAAATACATTTAGGATACTTTTATCTTTAAAGTAAATTTTTAGAGGAAAAAGCTCAGTACTATAATAAGCGAAAATAATAATAATAATAATAATAATAACACAGTTCAAAAACTGTAAAAGGTTTGGTTATAAGTTATAAATTATTTTATGTTAAATATATTACTGTCGTCGGTGAACTCATTCATAGTAGTAATGCAAATAAAAATGCATTTAGGCTACAGGCCTATTTAGAAGACGCTTTTATCCACAAAAAAGAACAAAGCAATTCGTCAAATGTCAGTCTTAGACAATAATAATAGGCTACGATTCTAACAAACAAACACAGGTTTTAACGTATATCCAACTGTTTGTGTGCATGTCACTGCCGCGGCCGCAAACACTTGCATGTTCCTATCAACAGTGGAACAATTTAAAATAATCTAGCATTTCTGGTCATACGGAAAAAAAAAATACATAATACATAATACATTATTTGCAACTACTTTTATTTGTGTAAACTCACAATAACAAGAAAACGTCGATCGTTATTTTTCAGACACAAGCCTATAAATCACCTATAAATCATCTCTCACATGCTCTTCTCATTTAGCACTGCGGGCAAAATATAGTTTTTAGAAAGCAAAATCTATTTTTTTTTTCATATTAATTTGCGAATATTTTAAATGTTTAATAAAGGCAAAAAGTCAGCCTATTCGTCAAAATCTTGTGTTTAGGCCTATTTGTGATAATCTCAGCCCTGTTTTATTATTGTCTAACCAGTAGGCCTATTATGATTTGACGAATTGCTTTGTTTCTTTTTTTTTTTATAAAAGCGTCTTATATCTAAATATGTAGCCTAAATGTAATAATAATAGCATATTATTATTAGGCCTATTATTTGCGTTTATAACTTTAAATGAGTTCACTTAAGACAGGAGAATATGTAAAACAATTTGTGAATGTTTTATTTTTATAGACCTATAACTTTGTGTTTGTCTTAGGCTATATTTATTTATTTATTTTTTTGTAAGTGAAGTCCTTTTAAAAACAATGCATCCCGCATCTAAACAGGAGGCCTGGTTGAATCATGCGGCACATTCTCGGGGACGAGCCACAAATCCGCGAGTCCGGATTACACACCCGTAAGTAGCCTACGGATTGCGAAAGCGTGGGCACGGTTTATGAATTTGTGGGTACATATTTCTAAAACTGAGGGCACGGTTTACAAATCTGAGAGCAGGGATTAGGAACTCGTGGCTACGGTTTATTAATCCGTGGGCACGAATTGTTAAACCGAGGGAACAGTTTAAGAATCCGTGAGTAGCCTACAGTTTATAAATTAAGGGAACGGATTGCAAAAGCTACCTATTTAAGCTTCAAGAATGGTAGGATAAACATAAAAGCTGTCGGCCAAGAGCATGTAACGAGGTTCGATCTTGCGTCGTTTGGAGGTATATGAGGTTGAGGATGATGCGTTAACCACACAGCTATCGCTGGACTTCTAATGCGCTGTCGTCTTATACAATTGTAAAGCCTCATTGATGTAGCCTAATATGTTTTGACTGCAATGTTTTAAGGTTTCATTATTTTTTCAATTTAATTTCAGTATTGTGATTAATTAATTAATTTAACTACGTTTCACTTGAATTAATCTGTTACCATCTTTCAATCGCTCTGAAAGAGCCACGGCGCAGTTGAAGATTACACAAAAAAACGGACACTTTTCAAAGTCTGTGATTGTTGCGCCTCTTAGCGGCCAAAGGCAGCAACTACACCTCAACTTCGCCGGCAAACCGGCGGCGGTAAAAACCACATTCTGGTTGTCTACCTACTGTATATGCTCACAAATCAAATGCTTTTGTAAAGTCACACAAATTACACATTGAAATCCATGTTGCACAAAAATAAACACTGAAGTTAATAATTACTAGAGGTGGGCATAGATTATTTTTTTAAATCTACATTAATCTCGAAATTAATCTAGATTTAAATGGCTCATTTGAATTAAGGCGTTCTTATGTGTGCTATACCCAAATAAATAACCTCACAGGTAGTTTGTAATTAGGCCTAAATATGTTTTATACAAGATTTAACACTGGAATGTTCATATTATTATAAATAATGAGAGTGATCATAATTATTTTATTCTATTGTCAACCCTAGTTTTAAACAGCACGAAATAACTAAATAAGTTTTTTGTTGTTGTTGTTGTTTTTTTCCATAAGGTTTTCTTGTGTAATTCTAAACCCATTTGATCCACTTTTCTTCTATGTAACAAAAAATGAATTATTTTGTAGTGTCCGGGAAGCTCTTTTTCTTACAATACAAATAAATAGAGAGAGATGAAATATCTGATGAATGCATATGTAATGCATAATACAGAAATCAGCTGCTTGAATGACAATTGCTGATGTTAGCCTATTGGATTTTCAGGTGAGATTCTCAATTCATTCAGTTAACGGATGCTCTGAAATCACTTCATATGTTTTCTGTATCCGATCTTGAAAAGACCAGGTGTAAATGCCGTCCGAAACGCATTCGAGACGGATTTGAATCCGATCACTCAAACCACATCAGGAAGTAGTCTGGGCTGCATTCCAGACGAAACTGGACGTGTAAATGCATCTGGTTGTTGAAACCACATATGTAAATGTCACTACTCCCAAAAATGCTAAAAAATAAACGTGTGAGAGCGTGTTATAAGCCATATGTCATGTTATTTTAGTCAGATATGACGGCGCTGCGACACGCATCACCTCAGATGAGCAGCTGAGCGCCCATCAAGCCAATGCGCCGCAATCTATCGCAAATCAAAGTGAAAGTAAGTCGCAGACGATTAACACTACAATCTTCATTAAAAGTAAAGAAATGAACTGATCTTTACCAGGGCTGTTGCCGCTCTCTCTTATTGCTGTCTTTGCTGATTTTGAAATTAGCCGATGATCAATAAAACGCAGCTCATATCTGTTGCTTTCGGTGACGTGCACTTCATGAATTCTGTAGCCTATATAGCACGGGAATTGAAGATCGGATTTATATCCATTTTGCAAACACACATTTATGTGACCAGCTGTAAATGGAATCGTTTTGATAAATCAGATAGCTATCCGATCTGAGAAAACGCATGAAGTGGCCAGGTGTAAACGTGGCGCGCGCTGCGCTTCTCGTTCGGTGTGCGACCCCCTTTACGGATGTGTATTTCCCTCATATTAAATATAAAATGCATAGACTGATATTTTCCTAACGTCTGGATAAACAGACGTTTCAATATATTGGTTTTAAATGGCCCTTACAGTGCAATTCGACTACATCTGCGCTAAAATATCAAAGTGAAAGTCATCATAGCTTGCGTGGTGTAGTCAGCTCCATAGGTCAGCTCCCAACTCAACTGTGAGAATAGATTAACGGCGATATTTTTTTTATCGCCTGACAAGAGTCTCACGTTAACGCAGCACGTTAACGCCGATAACGGCCCACCCCTAATAATTACTATGTTGTTGTTTTTTTTGTTTTGTTTTTTTACAGTGGGTCATAATATATCATATCTTTTAGTTTATAAGTGTGTTTCGTGGTGTTAGGAATTTCTCTGCGCATTTCCGCACTAACTCAAAACATGCGTAAACCACCTCCTGAGCTGGTGTAGGATTTGAGCGTGTCGTACGCCAACGTCGGACGTTTGGTGTACGCACTTTTGATAAATGAGGGCCACTGTGTTTTGTGGGATAATAATATAGTGAGATGTAAATGTTCCTCTTCAGGGAGACTCCTCACCGCTGTCTTCTACCGCCGGCAGGATCTGACGGTTCAAGCAGGAATCTGTCGCTGAACCACCGGATGGGGCTTAGCCTACGCCAAACATATATCCTATACACTATCTACATATTAATCCTTATTCACTCAGATTCTTTATGGTAGAGATGATCTTACCACAGTGTCTCCAGTTTACAGTGAGGATTTGCCAGTAGATCAGAAAGCTGCTTCACTCCTGAGTCTCCTAGTTTATTATCAGACAGATTCAGATCTCTCAGGTGTGAGGGGTTTGATCTCAGAGCTGAAGCCAGAGCAACACAACCTTCATCTGTGACTCCACAACCCCACAACCTGTAGAGAACAATGACATACATTAAGCCTATATCCAGAGATAAACAACACTTAAACTATAAATAACATAGGCAAGGCAAGTTTATTTCTATAGCACATTTCATACACTATGGAAATTCAAAGTGCTTTACATAAAGAGGAAATAATCACAAAATAAAAGCAAGGAAAATTCAAACAGTTATTAAAAAAAAATCATTATTTCTATAGAAAATCCCCATAAAACAGGGAAACCCAATGGTGTGTGTGTGTGTGTGTGTGAGATTAAGTGTGTGTGTGTGTTTACTGTATTTGTAAACATTTAAACTGAATTGCTTTATTTTTGTAAAAAATATTTTAAAAATTACTTATTTTATATTTTTGTTGTTGCTTACAGACGAGGTTGACAGAAGTAAGCCAATGAAACGTGTTGTTATCTATGAGTGTCGTAATATCCTGTTCTAGTGGACGTGTGGAAGCGGCGTGAGACTGAATCACTGAAAAGCCCTTGCGCTACTCATATGCTGAGAGAGAGATAAGACAGTAGATCTGCACGATTCATCTTTAAAAATACTGTGATCTCCATTCAAACACACACACACGATCTTCTTCCAGTTCCTCTGTCTATTAAACCTTTGACCAATTCATATCGCAACATTTTAAATCTGTTTTGGTGCTGCCGCTGACCCAGAGAGAGTTGGCATGAAACAGCTTAAATAGAAGTAATGGGATAAAAGTTTAAAGCTCAAATATAAACACTGATGTCTAGCGATCAAAATAGAGGAAGTCAAATTTTGATAGAAACAATCCCAACTCTTAAAAATCGCAATACATATCGTATCGGCACCCAAATATCGTGATAATATCAAATCAGCAGATAGGTGCATTGCCCCAGCCCTAGTGTGTGTGTGTGTGTGTGTGTGTGTGTGTGTGAGCTTAATGTTTTGTAAACACTGAGTGAATTGCTTAAAGTTACTGAAACTTTAGAGTGATTGAGAAGCACGGATAAATGAACAATAAGGAACGGGACGTGCTTGATGATTTAAAGCACATTAGACACACAATGGCTTCTTGTGCCGCCTGTGTGTCCCGCTTCCTGCCGTTTGAATGGGCAAATACACACACAATTACGTAATAAACACACATCTTGCTTTTTGTGCAATTGCTCATTATTTGAATGACTTTTCACAACAGTTTGGAAATGATGTAATCGAGTCACATGACAATGGTAAGTACTTACGATCTTGTATATTAAGATATGAAGTATTTCTTATGGCCAGTTAGATTGGCATATGCTGTACTTCATGGATTTATGTATCATAAGTCTGAGGTGTTTTATCTGCACCATCATATTACAGAAAACTGCTGGTGTAATTATGCAGTTGTGGAAACCAATGATGATTCCACAGCAATACATGCATATACACTAGAGTCAAGAGTTTGGGGTCAGAATATGTTTAAGGTTTTTAAAAGAAGTCTCTTTTACTGCATTTATTTTTTAGTTTGTCTCGACAAACTTTTTAATCTATCTTTTATTCTTTTGCTGCTTTTATTGGATTAACGGTGCATTGCGCAACATTTCATGTTAAAAATAGCCGTTTTCTAACCCATACATGCTTAAACAATCGCCTGATGGGCTGAATTAGCCCTTCTCTGATCACTGCGATCGCCTCTATAATCCTGTACAGTAAAATAAATAAGAGGGATTCGGGCTCGAATCTGAGACTGGCCGTGACGTCATGCGCGTTCACGCTCGCCTGGCTATGTGCCTATGTCTTGCAGGTAGTGTATTCGCCGCCATTCTCCGTATCAGAGAAGACAACTCGAGCGACACAACTTTAGTCAACTTTCCACAAAAGTAGACGATGGATTCAAGGGGGCTGTTTACACCTGGTCACTTCACGCGTTTTCAGTGATCGGATAGCTATTCGATCGTGAAAAGAGCAGGTTACCCTAGACCTTTACCAAAATCGAGACGGATTTGAATCCGATCGCTCAAATCACTTGAGGACGTGGTCTGGGCCGTATTCCAGACAAAACTGGACAAATGTAAATGCATCTGGTTGTTGAAAGCAGGCTATAGGTCATGTCATGTTATTTTAGTCATATATGACGACGCACATCACCTCAGATGAGCAGCTGAGCATCATAAAGCCAGCGCGCCGCAATCTATCGCAAATCAAAGTGAAAGTAAGTCGCAGACTCTTAACACTACCATCTTCATTAAAAGTAAAGACATGAAATGATCTTTACCAGGGCTGTTGCGCACTCTCTCTTATTGCCGTCTTTGCTGATTTTGAAATTAACCGATGATCAATAAAATGCAGCTCATATCTGTTGTTTTCGGTGACGTGCACTTGATGAATTCTGTAGCCTATATAGCGCGGGAATTGAAGATCAGATTATATCTGTTTTGCAAAAACATATTTATGTGAGCAGGTGTAATGGAATCGTTTTGATAAATCAGATCTATCCGATCTGAGAAAACGCCTTGTGGCCAGGTGTAAACAGCCCCAAAGAGACCGGCTTGTAGTTCATTCCAACCCCAACGCAAACTCCATGTGAGACAAAGAAAATACAACTTCTGTCTGTCCAGTGCCAGGCGTCGGAATAAGACGAGAGTCAACATCGGGAAGCTTTCAACAAACGGAGAGATCTCCGGTCTGCTTTAGGGCTCAAACGGGTCCTATACAAAGTAATAACTTATATTGTTCATGAACGTGTTTCCATAATTATACAATCATACGTGAATACAGTAAGCACATAAAACAGTTCAATATGGTGATAGATGGAAACAAAAACCGAAGTTTCCTACTACCCCTGTTTTCCCCTCACACACACATAAGTATGTACTCGAATGCCTTTCCTTTCATATAAATGACCTGCAAATTTATAACTGTATTACCTCATTATGACTGTAACAAAAGATGTGTGCCGTCCTTTGGTTATGAACAGCTCGTGCAAACGTGCGTGTATGTGTGTGAGCGCGCACGCAGTTTCGCTTGTCGCCAGAGGGGGCGTACTTCTGCAAAAATTTAGATACTTGCGTTTTGCTCTTTTAAAAACAAAATAAAATAAATAAACAAAAAAAAACAGTAATATTACGAAATATTATTCCAATATAAAATAGCTCTTTTCTATGTGAATATATAGTAAAGAATAACCTCAAAGAATCCTGAAAAACAATTGTACACAACTGTTTTTAACATTGATAATAATAATGAAAGTTCCCTTTCGTAGTCACATCGAGTTACGTCAGAAGTGACGGAGATTTGGGGTTTCGCATAGAAAGCCAATCCTCTTCGAGTATTTAATCACGAGCCAATGGAATGCAATGCCTTGGGGCTGCGGAAATTTGCATAGCGTACTCCGCCCTACTCCGTGAGTATAAAAGGAGGAAGTGAACGCAACCGCAGTATGTTTTCGCTTCGGAGCCAAGAGACTTCTTCACTCCTAAGCCATTCTCACTGACAAGACTCTTCGAGACGAGCTCCTCTTCAGTGTTGGTGTGACGCGATACCCAGCGAGATTCTACATTGCCTGCGATCTGAGCAGTGGTCTGCCAGACTGTGCGCTTCTCCCTGGACGCCTCAGCGCTGAAAGAGTGAATTTTCCTCCTCTCTTTTGAAAGAGCTACACGTGGCACGTCTTTTTAAAGATGGTTCGCCCGTGTTCTTCTGGATGTGGTCGATTCATGTCGTCCTCTGATGGTCACGATCGCTGCTCTGTTTGCCTGGGCATTCAGCATGCAGCAGCAGCATTCGTGGATGACTCATGTTCCTTTTGTGGGGATATGACCATCTCTACACTGCGATCGAGACTCAATGATCTAACAAAAGTAAGAGTCCCCGCGTCCGCTACTCGTTCGGCTTCTTCTTCGAGAAGCTCTTCGACTCGCGGACAGGGTGATCTGACGGTGACGGTGTGGAACAAAAACCCGACGAGAGATCCTCGGGCCACACCCACCGCCCCAGTGTCAGAGCCAGCGAGCGCTGCTTCGATTCAGGCGTCTGCCTCTTCGCAGGTACCGTCTGTTTGGTTCGGCGCTCCAGAGGATGACGCGATGTTGATCGCGGCATCACAGGGCGGGCTTGAGTCCTCGGGAAGTGAGGATGCAGCTGCGTTGCCTCCCTCGGGAGCGCCGGCGTTGCCCGTGTCTGATCCCGAGATGACGGCCATGCTATCTCGGGCTGCCGTGAGTATCGGGTTGGAGTGGAACCCTCCGCCCTGCCCCGATCTCTCACAGATGGATAATTGGTTTTAGGGGAAAGCTGCCGCCGCAAGGCCACAGCCGAACCCAATTCCATTTTTTCCCGAGCTGCATGTGGAGCTGACGCGCACTTGGAAGGCTCCTTTGACCTCTCGAGAGCGTGCTCCAGTCTCCCTCGCCTTTCCTCTTCTTGACGGCGCGGCTGCCCATGGGTATGCTGGGATCCCTCCGGTGGAGCGCTCTGTTGCGATGCAACTGTGTCCGCAGAGCGCCTCCTCCCGTGGGGCTCCTAAGCACCCATCCAAAGCCTGTAGGTTCTCGTCGTCTATGGCGGCGCGATCCTATAGAGCGGCGGGACAGGCAGCCGCCGCTTTGCATGCCATGAGCACTTTGCAAGTGTTTCAAGCCAAACTGCTCAGAGACATGCACGAGAGTGGGACTGACCCAGCGGCTTTTAATGAGCTGCAAGCTGCCACTGACCTCGCTCTCCGGGCGACGAAAGTGGCTGCTCGCTCCGTTGGGCAGGTGATGGCCACTAGCGTGGTCCAGGAGCGCCACCTATGGCTCAACCTGGCAGACACAAAGGACGCTGAGCGGACACGTCTGCTCAACGCCCCCCTCTCCCAGGTTGGCCTGTTCGGCGGTGCGGTCGAAGACTTTGCCCAGCAGTTTTCGACCGCCCAGAAGCAGACGGAGGCCATTACACATATTCTGCCCCAACGGTCAGTTGCTGCCTCCACCCAGCCGTCGGCCCAGAAGCCTCCCTCTGCTCGCCGCCGAGGACGCCCCCCTGCGGCTCCCTTTCATCCCACGCATCCCCAGCAGCAGCCTTCACCCGGGATGCGGCGTGGAGGAGGCCGTAGGCATGCGTCGCAGCCCCCTCAGGCCGCGCGTCCCGCTAAACGCCAGGCGAAGCGGCGTTCCTGAGACGGGCTGCTCAGTGTTGAAGTTGAGTTTTTCCCAGGAGGCGGTAGCAGGCCCCCTCCTTCCCCCGGTGGAGGGCCGGGGGAGAATCTTTTGTTCACAGCTCCCCGCTACTCACCCACGGGTGGGCAGCACCCTGAGTTGGTTAAAGAAAGACTTAACATCATCACTGAGCACACAGACTGGAATGAGTACGCTCGTCGCCCCAGCGCGTCGACCCTCTCATTCCTCTCTTTCTCTGAGGGTGCGGAAGGGAGCATGTGTCGTCCTTCGACCACGCACCTCCCCTCCCCCTCTCTCGCCAGACCCCCGACAGAACAGACACCAGTGGAACGCCGGTCCTTCCCTGGTCTCTTCTGTCGGGGAACGGGGCTCGACTGTGCATCCGCACGGGGTAACACCCGAGCACATGCCAGTCTCCCCGCCCCGCTGCCCCTCCGGGGTGACGTCTGTAGTTCGCATGACCCAGCGGTTCACTTCTTGGGAGCTTGGCTAGAGCTCCCCGGGCTATCCCGCTGGGTCATCAGAACGATCACATTCGGCTACGCGATTCAGTTCGCACGGTCTCCTCCCTGTTTCAGGGGAGTTCGCTCCACTATGGTTGGTGGCAATGCCCCGGTCATGAGAGCGGAAATTGCGACCCTGCTGACGAAGGGTGCAATCGAGACGGTCCCTCCAGCCGAGGTGAGGTCCGGGTTTTACAGCCCCTACTTCATTGTCCCCAAGAAGACCGGTGGGTTACGACCGATCCTGGATCTGCGCATTTTGAACCGTACTCTTCATCGGCTACCGTTCAAAATGCTCACAGCCAAACGCATTTTCGAATGCATACGGCCTCAGGATTGGTTTGCAGCAATCGACCTGAAGGACGCGTACCTTCATGTCTCCATATTGCCTCGACACAGACAGTTTCTTCGGTTTGCCTTCGAAGGCCAGGCATATCAGTACACGGTTCTCCCATTCGGGTTAGCTCTGTTTTCTCCAGCGTGCCGCCGTACCTTCTCCCCGTGGTCGAAACTCAGCTTTTTGCGGGCCGGTGTCCCGCTCCAGCGAGCTTCCAGGCATCTCGTTGTCTCCACGGATGCATCTACCACGGGTTGGGGTGCCATGTGCAATGGGCATGCAGCCGCGGGTTCCTAGACAGGACCCCAGTGCCTCATGCACATCAATTGCCTCGAGCTGTTGGCAGTATGCCTGGCCCTGCACCGCTTTCGAGCACTGCTCAGGGGTCAACATGTACTTGTCCGTTCAGACAACACCACTGCTGTAGCGTACATCAACCACCAGGGGGATCTACGCTCGCGCCAGTTGTCGCAGCTCGCCCGCCACCTCTTGCTATGGAGTCAGAAGCACCTGAGGTCCCTTCGTGCAGTATACATTCCAGGAGACCGGAACCTGGCAGCCGACGAACTGTCACGGGTCCGCCCTATCTCCGACAAATGGCGACTCCATCCCCAGACGGTCCAGCTGATCTGGGACCAGTTCGGGGAGGCTCAGATAGACCTGTTTGCCTCCCGGGACTCATCCCACTGCGCCCAGTTTTACTCCCTGTCCGAGGGCACGCTCGGCACAGATGCACTGGCGCACAGCTGGCCTCGGGGCCCACGCAAGTATGCGTTTCCCCCAGTGAGCCTCCTTGCACGGGTGTTGTGCAAGATCAAGGAGGACGAGGAGCAGGTCTTGCTGGTAGTCCCCTATTGGCCCACCAAGACGTGGTTCTCCGAACTCATGCTCCTCGCGACAGCACCTCCGTGGCCTATTCCTCTGAGACAAGATCTACTCACTCAGAGACGGGGCACTCTGTGGCACCCTCGTCCCGAGCTGTGGAGGCTACACGTGTGGCTCCTGGACGGGACGAGGCAGGTCTGAGTTCGCTGCCACCTGCGGTGGCGGCGACCATCACTTCCACTAGAGCGTCGTCCACGAGACACCTTTACGCGTTGAAGTGGAACCTCTTCGTCAACTGGTGCTCTTCTCTCGTAGAAGACCCCAAGAGATGTTCGATCAGTGTTGTGCTTTCCTTTCTGCAGGAAGGGTTGGAGCGTAGGCTGTCGCCCTCCACCCTTAAGGTTTACGTCGCGGCCATTGCCGCTTCTCATGATGCAGTAGAAGGTAAGTCTATTGGGAAGCACGACCTGGTCATCAGGTTCCTGAGGGGAGCGAGGAGGCTAAATCCGCCTCGTCCTCCCCTCGTACCCTCTTGGGACCTCTCAGTAGTCTTAAGTGCTCTGCAGAGGCCTCCCTTTGAGCCTTTGCAATCGGTAGAGTTAAAGTTTCTGTCTATGAAGAGGGCACTCCTGGTTGCATTGGCCTCCATCAAGAGGGTAGGGGACCTGCACGCATTCTCCGTTGACGAAGCGTGCCTGGAGTTCGGGCCGGCTTACTCTCACGTTGTCTTGAGACCCCGGCCTGGATATGTGCCCAAGGTTCCTACCACTCCCTTCCGGGACCAGGTGGTGAACCTGCAAGCGCTGCCCCTGGAGGAGGCAGACCCAGCCTTGGCACTGCTCTGTCCAGTACGTGCACTCCGCACCTACGTCGACAGAACGCGGTGTTTCAGGACCTCAGACCAGCTCTTTGTCTGTCATGGGGGGAGCCAGAAGGGAAGGGCTCTCTCAAAGCAACGGCTGTCTCACTGGATAGTGGACGCCATTGCTTTGTCTTACCAGCAGCAAGGTCGTCCGTGCCCCCTTGGTGTGACGGCCCATTCCACTCAGAGTGTGGCCTCCTCTTGGGCTCTAGCGCATGGCGCCTCGCTAACAGACATCTGCAGAGCTGCGCGACACCAAACACCTTCGCGAGATTCTATAATCTGCGAGTCGAACCGGTGTCCTCTCACGTACTCACTTCCGCCAGTACTGGACCCGCTTAGGTGTCTTCGCTTGCTCGACATTCCACTCCCCGACTGGATGAGTGCGATATTCCTCAGTAGTCTTCCGTTGAAGCCTTGAGTCCTCCAGCACCCAGGATGCGGGCACCACTGATTTGCTCTGGATGCCGGCTAGGTGCCTCCATGTGCACGGTTCCCTTGGTAACTGTCGCATGTGTATTTTCCACTGTAAGCCTCTCTGAGCATGTGTCTTCCCTTGGCAAGCCATCTGCCAACCCTGGAGCTTCTAGTAGCCACCTGCGGTTGGTGCTCCAGTGATCTCCATATGCGTCCCTACGCGGCCATATGTGTATTCGTAAGTCCTCCCTACGGTAGGCATCTGGTAGCATATTCCTCCCGGGATATGTTTCCCAGTGTACCTTGGTATTCTTGTGTCAAAGTAGGACTCCTGGTGATATCAGTTCAGGGGTCTAGACTTTTGCAGGGCACTGGAAGACAGCTGTAAGATGGCGTGATGGCATTGACCCCCAATCTCCGTCACTTCTGATGTAACTCGAAGTGACTACGAAAGGGAACGTCTCGGTTACGGATGTAACCCTCGTTCCCTGAGTAGGGAACGGAGACGTTACGTCTCCCTGCCACTTCGGCTGTACCGCTGGGTAGACGCCTGAGTTCAGTCTTGGCTCCTCAGCGAAGACATACTGCAGTTGCGTTCACTTCCTCCTTTTATACTCACGGAGTAGGGCGGAGTACGCTATGCAAATTTCCGCAGCCCCAAGGCATTGCATGCCATTGGCTCGTGGTTAAATGCTCAAAGAGGATTGGCTTTCTGTGCGAAACCCCCAATCTCCGTCACTTCTGACGTAACGTCTCCGTTCCCTACTCAGGGAACGAGGATTACATCCGTAACCGAGACGTTTTCTGAGCATCAAAATATAATTAAAAATTAAATATAATAATGATTTCTGAAGGATCATGTGACACTGAAGACTGGAGTAATGAATGCTGAAACTTTGATCACAGGAATAAATTACATTTTTAAGAATATTAAAATAGAAAACAGTTATTTTAAATTGTCATAATTTTTTATAATATTACAGTGCTTTTCTTGTATTTTTAATCAAATAAATACAGCATTGGTGAGCAGAAGAGACTTATTTTAAAAACATTAAAAATCTTCCTGATACAAAACTTTTGAAAGGCAGTGTGTGTGTGTGTGTGTGTGTGTGTGTGTGTGTGTGTGTGTGTGTGTTGTGATTTGATTGACGAAGCGAACGCAGTTTATTGAGAGCACAATCCAAAGTCATAGTCCATTAAAACAGGCAGAAGGTCAGAGGTCAGAAAACCAGCCCAAACACACACATCCAGAGGGCAAGACAAGAAGGAGAAACCCAGGGGTTATTCCAGAAAGCAGGGTGTGTGACAGACCCAATGGGTGTGTTTAAGGGTGAGTAAGCGGATAAGCTCAACTTTCGGCTCCACAAAACAGAGGGAACGTTCAGGGTATGTAGTAGTATTAAAACATTTCCACACTGAAGGCACTCTCTGTAATTTCAATGAGGTCTGAAAAATGAAATGACTGATATCACAGAGCTGATCAACACAGCTCCTCAAAACTCTCCCACTGACTTTATCAAGCCCAGGGCTTTTATTTTTTTGGGTGGTTTGTAAAACCCTCAAAACAGTGGCTTTATCAATGTGCAGATATTCCTCTGTTTCCAAACTAAAATAAAAATCCCTACTAATTTCATTAAAATAGTGTGTATCAAATCGCCTATCAAAGTCATTAAATTCATTATCTATCTCTCCCATAGCTATCTCTCTCATAAGTAGCAACATTCTTTGTTAATCCATTAATTTATAATGTTTAAGTAAGAACTGTTATAATGTTTTAGCAGTGATGCTTGTTCTCAGTGTTACTTACTGAGCGCATCTAGTAGCTGTAACCACAGGCATCAGCTTCTGGAGAACTTCATCTCCTGTGTTTTGTGTGAAACTAATAGAACATAAAAAAATAAACAAGTTAATGAATAATAATAACAATAATTCATGTCATATCATAAATAATACATTACACCCTTTTTTAATGAAACACTGCTTTATAAAGGACGTGTGTTAAAGTTGTTTAGTATCTATAACTGTAGAAGTCTCGTATTCAGCAACACAGATTTATTTTCTTTTTCTTGCCAATGTCGTTTGTCAAGGTTTATTAGTCTACATTTACACTACAACACTAACATTTCATAATGAACTCAGATAAACTCAGTGCCGACTCGTTTTCCAGCAGTTCTTTTACATGAACTGGAATGTTTGCAAAGGATTGTGGGAGATTGAAGAACACGAAGAACACACTTGATGCATCCTTCAAAATGATCTGAATTAAAGACACAAAATGAAGTCTGTCTTCAAAAGATCCTTCAAACTGAGACGGCCTTCAGAGACGCTTGATGACGTGGCAGTCGAGATATGCAGCCTTACTAGGACACAGCCACGGTTTGAGAAACACCCGCAAATTATGGACAATATCCCAGAAATCAGTCTGAGCCCGTGATTTAAACACCTCTGATCTCTGAGTTTCTCTTTCTTCATAATGTTTTAGACTGTAATGATTGCACTCAGTGTTACTTACCCATCAATACTGACTCCAATTAATCTCCTCAGGTCAAACTCCTGCAGTGTCTCCTCTGAGGACAACAACACAAACACTAAAGCTGACCACTGAGACGAGGAGAGTTTCACAGCACGTAATCCTCCATATGATCTGGTACGAGGTTTAGCTTCGTTGACTAGAGAAAGATCCCCCAGTTCATTCAGACAGTGAAACAGATTGATGTATTTCTCTGGAGAGGGATTCTCACTGATCTTCTCTTTAATATAGTCAACTGTTTCCTCATTGTTGTGAGAGCTGTTTGCTGTCTGTGTCTTTAGTTCTTGTAAGAGACTCTGATTAGACTCCACTGACAGACCCAGAAGGAAACGAAGGAAAAGGTCCAGATGCCCATTTCTACTGTGTAAAGCCTCATCCACAGCTCTCTGATGGAGATCAGATAGGGACACTTTGCCTCCATTAGTTGGTTTGGTAATCTGGTCAAAAACATTAATGTTATTGTTGATAAAGGAGAGATGCACATATAGAGCTGCTAGATGTTCCTGAATGCTCAGATGAACAAAGCAGAAGGCTTTCCCCAGACACAAGCCCAACTCCTCTCTGAAGATCTGAGTGCACAATCCTGAGTAAACTGATGCTTCTGCCACATCAATGCCACACTCGCTCAGGTCTTCCTCATAGAAGATCAGGTTGCCTTTCACAAGCTGCCGATACGCCAGTTCCCCCAGTTTGACGATCATGTCTTCATCTTTCACTTTCTTCTCATAGTCCTTCTCATGTTTGATGTTGGTCTGAATGAGCAGGAAGTGTGTGTACATTTGAGTGAGAGTCTTGGGAATCTCTCGTCTCTCTGCTTCACTGCACATCTCCTCTAGAACAGTGGCTGAGATCCAGCAGAACACTGGGATGTGGCACATAATAAAGAGGCTCCTTGAGGACTTCAGGTGTGAGATGATCCTGTGGGCCAGACTCTGATCACTGATCCTCTTCCTGAAGTATTCCTGCTTCTGTGTGTCACTGAAGCCTCGTACCTCTGTCACTCGATGGACACACTCAGAGGGGACGAGATCCGCTGCTGCTGGTCTGGAGGTGATCCAGATGAGAGACGAGGGAAGCAGATTCCCCACAATGAGGTTCGTCAGCAGCTCGTCCACTGAGGCTGATTCAGTCACATCACACAACCTCACATCGCTCTGAAAATCCAGAGACAGACGACACTCATCCAGACCATCAAAGATGAACAGCACTTTATACTCATCACTGGATATGGCCATTTCTCTGCTTTCAGGGAAGAAGCGATGAAGAAGATCTGAAAGACTGAGTGTTTTGTCCTTCATCAAGTTGAGCTCTCTGAAAGCCAGTGGAAATATGAGCTGGACGTCCTGATTCTCTTTCCCTTCAGCCCAGTCCAGGATGAGCTTCTGCACAGAGACTGTTTTTCCAATGCCAGCGACTCCCTTTGTCAGCGCAGTTCTGATGGGTTTGTCTTGTCCAGGTAAAGGTCTAAAGATGTCACTGCATTTGATCGGTGTGTCCTCTGTTTCTGCTCTCCTGGACTGTGTCTCAATCTGTCTCACCTCATGCTCATTATTGATCTCTCCACTTCCACTCTCTGTGATGTAGAGCTCTGTGTAGATCTCATTCAGGAGTGTTGGCTTTCCCTGCTTTGATATTCCCTCACACACACACTCAAACTTCTGTCTCAGATTTGATCTCAGTGTGTTGAGGACTTCAGCAGCTTTAGAGTCATGGCTGGAAGATTACAATAACACATTATTACACAAGTCAGAGAAGTAAATAACCATAAATTACAACGACAGTCCTGCATTTTACCTGAAACCAGGACACGTGCGTTCATTAAAGTCTTGTGGTTGAATCACAGGCATGAACACAGTTTTGTTTTTAACTTAAATCAGAATGAAGAGGGTAAAGAATCAAACACACTGATATTGATGTAATTGTGTCATTAGCCATGTTTCCATCGACACGTTTTTATCCGAATTAAGTGATATCGAATGAAAAAAGCCTTATGGAAACAGTAAAATTCGATGAAATTTCATGAAAATCGACTCAAATGAAATCCGTTCGGTCTCATCGAATTTTCTCTTGATCGATATACGGCTAATGCGATAAAAGCTGATGGAAACGTTATTTGCCGAATAAATAATGAATTGCGATTAAGTTTTATGCCCTTTTATGGTTGCAACACGTCAGAAGACGAGTTCATTTCCGGCCAGTCTGTTTGCGCACACATGGCGGATGTCAACAAAGACAGATGTAAGTGGACAAAGCAAAAAGATGCTTCAACCAAAGGGTTTCCGTGAACCACGATCTCCCAGAACTGATTGAGCGCTCGTTCCCACACCACAGTCACCTCCGCTGTCGTCGGGCATACGTGCATCGTCATCATCATAGCAATGTTTATAGCGTCGCTGTTTTCTTAGGTTAGTTTTGCTTGTTTTTACGTGGCTTGGTTGAATTGTAATGTAGAATGTGGTCTGTTATTTCTAGTTAACAGACTGCGGCGCTGCTAGTATAACACACCGTTGCCATGGACGCAGTTCAGAGACGGAACAGACTATTTTCTTTAGCAGAAGCAATACTCGTTTTTAAATCAATAAACTCGTTTTTAAGTCAATATTTTGTGTCAAATGATTGATTTATTTGGTTGATTTATATGTAATAAGCAGGATAATATATAGCGAGGCGGTTGTGAGGCGAATTCAACAACCGCCTCGCATACATTATGTCGCTATCAGCTGGCACATAAGCATTATTAGCCTTCAACTTGTGAAATATTGATCATTTTTTGGTAGATGACGCGATCCGTTTTGTCTAACAAAACTTTGTTCACAAAAGTTTGCTTGAATGTTGTTCGATTCAGTGCGAAAATAAATGGAAACACCTTGAAATGTCTCAAATCAATTCGATATACCAATTTGATCGCAAAACAGCATGTGACGTCATTACGTACAGGTTTTTATTCGCTTTAAAGCCGTTGGATGGAAACACACTTTCACCAGCTTTGTCCGCATGAGTTTTTTAACCGAATTTCAGATAATTCGATTGACAAGTGGATGGAAACATGGCTATTAACTGAGTAACACACCAACAGCTTTTACAGTGTGTGAATGTATTAACAATACAATACATAGAGCTTTACACAAGAGCACAATGATCATCATTAATAGACTCAAACTAACACGATTTCAACTTAGAATTCATTGGTTCAAATCCAGATAATTAAACTGCTGTATATTAATAATAATTTCATGTTAAAAAAATCAAATACTATAAGCATAACTTTTATAGAAATTATATACCTGAGATCAGGCTGTGTGTCTCCACTCTTGAAATGTAGTGGTTTCTCCATAGACCAGTCACTCTTCACAGACACACAGCTGGACTCTGGGTTTGAGCTCTTCTGCTGGACTGAACTGGTTTCAAAACTAAGTAAAATAAAAAACATACAGACTTATAAATGTTGTGCACTTTTACAGGAATCTTCTGTCTTTAGGAAAAACCAGGGAGTGTTGTAACACTTTTGCTTTAGCATCTGTAACTCAGTGTGTTTTGCATATAACTTTGATTATAATTATTTTGAGGAATTAAAGGAGCATTTTACCCATTGCAAGATTAATCTTTATTGAAAGTGGATCATATATGTAGTCGAAATCTAAAAGAATTCTTTTTAATTTGGTGCCCTCTTGGCCAAGAAAAGACAGAAAATAACCAAGGGGCGCCTATATATGAAAAAACTACATTGTCATGATCCTGGCTCTTTCTTTCTTTCTCGGTTCCTTTTCTGCCCCCTTCTGGTCACTATCTTACATTACATTACTCGCATCACTCATTCATTATCCCGGTCACCTCCAGCTGTGGCTCATCTTCTCATTACCTCCTCGTTACCTTCCCAACTGTTTCTCACTATCTCTGATTAGACTCTCTATTTCATGGCATCTCTATTTCATGGCTCTCTTACTGTTCTTTGTCGGATTATTGCTCTATGTTACGTACCTGTGCATATCGCTCCTGTTCCTGTCGTATCGTGTCCTGTCTGGTACTAGCTGTTTTGTACACTGTGTTCCTCGACTCTACTCTGCTACAATCCCAGCATCGTGAGTGGTTCAGGATTGGCGTCCCCGTGCCAGCTACGGACCCAACCTGTCTCTTCCTCTGAGTGACCATCTGAGCTGATCCAGACGGCAGCTTTCTGTCCCGTTATCAAGAGACTTTCTGTTCCATTAGCATTGAGACTCCTCTGTTGGATTTACTCGCCATACGGCACCAGTGTTAACCCTTCTGAAACATTAAATCATTTGTTGACTGCCCTTTGCTTTTGGGTCCTCTATCTTACACGTGACAGAATAATCTGACCAGCAATGGACCCAGCAAGGGAGAATTCACTTCAGTCCGCACTCTTGAGTTCTAGGGAGCCATGCTGGGCCGTCATGAGGATTTTTCAGGAAGAGCCGGGAGATTTGGCTGGAGTTCCCCTGGAGTACCATGATCTTCGAGCGGTCTTTAGTCGTTCTAGGGCCACCTCTCTTCCTCCTCACCGGCCGTATGATTGTGCCATCGATCTCCTGCCTGGCACCACCCCTCCCCGTGGGAGGCTCTATTCGCTCTCCGCGCCCGAACGCGAAGCCCTAGAGAAGTATTTGTCTGACTCGCTCGAAGCGGGTACCATTGTTCCCTCCTCCTCCCCTGCTGGTGCGGGTTTTTTCTTCGTTAAGAAGAAGGATGGTTCGTTGCGACCCTGCATAGATTATCGAGGTTTGAATGACATAACGGTCAAGAATCGTTACCCCTTGCCACTTATGTCTTCAGCTTTCGAGGTCTTGCAGGGAGCTAAGATCTTTTCAAAGCTAGATCTTCGTAACGCTTACCACCTTGTCCGCATTAGGAGGGGAGACGAATGGAAGACTGCGTTTAATACGCCTCTTGGGCACTTTGAATATCGCGTTCTTCCTTTCGGATTGGTCAACGCTCCAGCCGTGTTCCAAGCGCTAATAAATGACGTGCTCAGAGACATGTTGAATATTTTCGTTTTCGTCTACCTTGACGATATTTTGATTTTCTCCCCCTCTCTCTAAGTTCACACTCAGCACGTAAGACAAGTCCTCCAACGTCTTCTCGAGAACCGATTGTTTGTTAAGGCCGAGAAGTGTACTTTCCACGCTCAGTCCATCTCTTTTCTGGGGTCAATTATTTCCGCGGAGGGAGTTAGCATGGATTCCTCGAAGGTCCGTGCGGTCACGGAGTGGCCCGTGCCGGAGTCGCGTGTTGCTCTGCAACAGTTCTTAAGTTTTGCGAATTTTTATCGTCGCTTTATCCGCAACTTTAGCCAGATTGCCGCCCCGCTCTCAGCCCTCACGTCCGCCAGGGTCCAATTTTTCTGGACGCAGGAGGCTCAGACCGCTTTTGATCGTCTCAAGTCTCTTTTTTCCTCTGCTCCTATTTTGCGTACTCCTGATGTCTCTAGACAGTTCATTGTTGAGGTTGATGCATCAGAGGTGGGCGTTGGGGCTATTCTCTCCCAACGCTCATCTTCTGATGAGAAGGTTCATTCTCCCGCCGAACGAAATTATGATGTTGGCAACCGCAAATTATTAGCCATTTGTCTAGCTCTCTGAGAGTGGCGCCACTGGCTAGAGGCTTCAGTGGTTCCGTTCGTGGTCTGGACAGATCACAGGAATCTTGAGTATATCCGCTCCGCTCCGCTAAGAGACTTTGCGCGCGCCAGGCTCGTTGGGCGCTATTCTTTACGCGTTTCAATTTCACCATCTCCTATCGCCCCGGGTCTAGGAACCTCAAGCCAGACGCTCTTTCGCGACAGTTTACTTCCCCAGAGGTTGTTCCCAATAAGGAGGAGATCCTTCCTAAGGGCGTGGTGGTGGGGGCAGCTGTCTGGGAAATAGAACGTTTGGTCAAGCGCTCTTTAGCCCACGCTATTACCCCTCGTCTTTGTCCCAGGGGTCTTCTGTTCGTTCCTCCGTCTGCTCGCCTCGCGGTTCTTCAGTGGGGCCACTCATCCAAACTATTTGCCCATCCCGGCGTTAGGGGCACCATCGCCGCCATCCGCCAAAGATTTTGGTGGCCCTCTCGTGAGCGCGACGTCCGCCGTTTTATCGCTTCATGTACGGTATGCACCCAGACTAAGTCGGGTAATTCGCCTCCGGCTGGGCTACTGCGTCCCCTCCCGTTACCGTCCCGCCCTTGGTCACACATTGCCTTGGATTTTATCACGGGTCTTCCCTCCTCCCAGGGGAACACCGTGATACTGACCGTCGTTGATCACTTTTCTAAGACCGCTCGCTTTATTCCGTTACCCAAGCTCCCATCTGCTAGGGAGACGGCCCAGATTATCGTCGACCAAGTTTTTAAGATCCACGGTCTCCCCTCTGACGTCGTATCTGATAGGGGCCCCCAATTCTCTTCCTTGTTTTGGAGAGAGTTTTGCCGTTTTATTGGTGCGTCGGCCAGTCTCTCCTCCGGGTTTCACCCACAAACCAACGGTCAAGCGGAACGTGCCAACCAGACCATCGGTCGCATCCTTCGTAGTCTTGCCTTTCGCAATCCGGTTTCGTGGTCAGAACAGCTTCCCTGGGCAGAGTACGCTCTCAATTCCGCTCCATCCTCTGCTACGGGTTTTTCTCCTTTTCAGTGCTGTCTCGGGTACCAGCCTCCACTCTTTTCGTCTCAGGAGACTGAATCTAAGGTGCCGTCCGTTCAAGCCTTCATTCAACGTGCTAAGCGTACCTGGGGAGAGGTTAGGTCCGCTTTAGTTAAATCTTGTTCTCGTACCCGGCGGGCCGCTAATAGACGTCGGGTCAAGAGTCCCCGTTATTCTGTGGGTCAGAGAGTTTGGTTATATACCCTTAATCTTCCTCTCCAGTCCACTTCTCGCAAGCCGGCCCCCAAATTCATCGGGCCTTTCTGTATTCTTAAGATACTCAGTCCTGTCTCTGTTCGTCTCAAGTTGTCTGCCAATCTTCGGCGCGTCCACCCGGTGTTTCACGTGTCATGTATTAAACCCGTCATTCGTGCCCCCCCTCGGCCTGTCACTCCTCCTGTCCACGTCGAGGGCGCTCCCGTCTATAGGGTTCGCAGACTTCTCGATTGATGTCGTGGTCATCAATTTCTGGTCGATTGGGAGGGATACGGTCTGGAGGAGAGATGTTGGATTCCATCCCGGGACGTCCTGGACCGCTCGCTGATTGATGACTTCTACCGCTCACGCCAGTCCTCCTCTGTTGCGCCAGGAGGCGCTCCTTGAGGGGAGGGTACTGTCATGATCCTGGCTCTTTCTTTCTTTCTCTGTTCCTTTTCTGCCCCCTTCTGGTCACTATCTTACATTACATTACTCGCATCACTCATTCATTATCCCGGTCACCTCCAGCTGTGGCTCATCTTCTCATTACCTCCTCGTTACCTTCCCAACTGTTTCTCACTATCTCTGATTAGACTCTTTATTTCATGGCTTCTCTCTTACTGTTCTTTGTCGGATTATTGCTCTATGTTACGTACCTGTGCATATCGCTCCTGGTCCTGTCGTATCGTGTCCTGTCTGGTACTAGCTGTTTTGTACACTGTGTTCCTCGACTCTACTCTGCTACAATCCCAGCATCGTGAGTGGTTCAGGATTGGCGTCCCCATGCCAGCTACGGACCCAACCTGTCTCTTCCTCTGAGTGACCGTCCGAGCTGATCCAGACGGCAGCTTTCTGTCCCGTTATCAAGAGACTTTCTGTTCCATTAGCATTGAGACTCCTCTGTTGGATTTACTCGCCATACGGCACCTGTGTTAACCCTTCTGAAACATTAAATCATTTGTTGACTGCCCTTTGCTTTTGGGTCCTCTATCTTACACGTGACATACATGTCCCACAATCCACAGCTCCGCAAGCCACACCCACTAATCCGGAACAGCGCAAGCAGAGAATTCACTCTTCCGTCAACAAGGCTAACATTAGCTGTCAGCGAAGTTTGAAATTCATTTCATACAAAATGTCTAGTTGGCTGTGGCGAGCAGGACGATCGAGGGCGATGGATGTAAGAGGACGGCGCTCTGCGCGAGGCCGGTGGCGTGAGTTATAACAGAGACTGATAATGAAAGACACCTGTGAGGCGCGCGCCAGTCTTGCGTCTCTCACGGAGAAGTGAAAGCAGAAAACGGGGAACGATGACGGCAGATCGAGAGAGAAACAGGCCTGATTTTATGTTGTGTTTTGTTTCTGTTGTGTGTAACGTTACAACAGTCGTCAATGAGGGGCTGCTGGCTTTGGCTTATACTTTCGTTTTGAATTTGTTCATTTTACTATTAAAATGTTTAAATGTTCTCGGGTTCCTGCCTCCTTCTTCCCACAACAACAAACCCCGTTAACGTTACATTGGCAAACTCATTAGTGAATTACTCCTCATTTGTATTTATTTCTATATGGTGAATT